TCGGGGAATAGGGGAGTTAGAATGGTTTACTGAGGAATGCAACGGCAGTGGACTATATGTTTGCTTACATTTGGAAGTTCAAAAAATTATTAAGGTGGATTGCCTTAGTTCTATGGTTACTTACAGGGAAATATTAGGCAGTTTTTTCGGCTTGCTGATAGAGGGCAAATAGACAATTTACCTTTATAATCCGCGTTTGTCTATTTAAACTTCAGAAGATTCAAGATGAAGCGAATATATTTAACACAACAGAACGCAATCTTAAGACTTGTAAATCTTTTAAAAGACAACAGCAAATTTTTAAACATTACTGTAAAAAATACCTTCTCTTCAAATTATAATGAATAATGAGGTAATGCATGAATGAATGGTTAATTACTCGTATATGATAACTATGCATTTATAAAAAGTTTTTAATAATGAAGTATAAATAATATTTTTAATTATCGATGTATTGTTTTTTAAAATATTTACAAGTCTTAAGCTTTCGTTCTGTTGTGTTAAATATATTCGCTTCATCTTAAATCTTCTGAAGTTTAAATAGATAAACGCGGATTTATAAAGGTGAATTATCTATTTGCCCTCTACCAGCAAACCAAAAAAAAAACTGCCTAATAATTCCCTGGAAGTAACCGCAGATGCTAAAGCAATTCACCTTTGCAATTTTCTGAACTTCCTAATGTAAGCAAACATCGTGCACTGCCGTTGGCGTTCCATTCTAACTTTCCTACTCCCCGATGAAAATAATAGAATCGCCTCTCTCATAGGCTGCCGTTTTGGGATGTAGACGCTAGTCATTCTGGAGTGTGTGCGTGACTCTGTGACGCAGTAGCAATGCATGTAATCCGATCCAATGTATAATCCTTTCTTTTTGCTATCAATTAAATTTATTTATATTTAATGGATCTATTAGTGATCTTATATCACCATTCAAACAGTTGTTAAGCATCGGGTAGATGAGCGAGAGCCCCATTAGTTCTATCCCACATAGGATATATTACATTTTGCTGGCGCCCAATCTGTGGCGAATAGTTAACAACTGATTTTAAAGGATGGATGCTACGAAATTAATAACCAAGCGTAGGGGATTAAGGAAGAATTTGACTATGTGTTCCGATAAAATTAATACTGCACTTCCGAAAGAAAATTGAGATGTCAACGAACTTTCGGTTTTAGAATTGCAGCTCAAGGATAAGTTCCAACGACTGGCAAGCTGCCAAGATGAATTAGAAAACGCTACTTTGCAATCTGAGGAGTTTTCTGATCAGAGTTATGAAGATGATTTATCGAAATCCAAACAATATAGAGATACATATTATAAGCTGATTTCTAAAATAAAGAATGTACAATTGGAAACCAGGTTAAAGAATCGTGGACAGCGAGGGATGCTTCCGAGAAAAGAGTTTAAACTTCCAAAAGTCGAATTAAAGAAGTTTGGTATAGAAGCTAAAGATTTTCTCTCATTCTGGTCACAGTTTGAAAAAATACACACCGATGCAAGTTTGGCCGCAGAAGACAAGTTCCAGTACCTATTGCAGGTTGTAGTTCCGAAATCGAAAGCTGCAAGGGTCGTAGAAAGTTTTCCAGATACTACAGCAAATTATCCAAAGGCTGTCGAGCAATTACGGGACCGATATGGAGAAGACTTACTGGTTCAAATTTATGTTCGAAATCTCCTGAGTATGGTGATGAAGTATGCTACATCGACACGTTCTCAAATAAACCTTCCAGCATTATATGATAAGCTAGAAACGAAAGTTAGAGCGTTAGAATTGTTAGGAAAGACCCAAGAAAAATATGGTGAGTTCTTAACACCTCTTGTAGAATCGTGTCTACCTGAAAAAGTCCTTATTGCTTGGGAAAGGAGCAGAAATAGTGCTGATTCGTCGAAAACGGAAGGTATCTTTGAAGAGTTTAATGAGTTTTCTGAAACTGGAAGTGCAAAGAGAAGAGATAGTTTTACTCGCTCGTAGTGGTTTTGGAACTAATTCGAACGTTAAGAAAAAAAAAGCTTTAACAGAAAAGTATACTGGAACACCTTCTACTGCAGCACTGGTGAGCACAATGAATCAAATCAAAAGAAACTCAGTTAGGCGAAATTTTAATTGCTTATTTTGCGATAAAAGTCATTTAAGTCAAAAATGTTTTTTGGCTAAAAACTTGAGTCTTGAAGATAAAAAGAAGATTTTGATAAGAAAGGGTGCCTGTTTTGTTGTTTACGAACAGGTAACATGTCTAAAAATTGTAAATCAAAAAATAAGTGCATTCAATGTAATAGAAATCATGATATTCTTATGCGTCCTGAGAATTTTAGTTCCATAAAACAGAATGATTCTAAGTTGGATGTTTCCCTTCCTAATAACAGTAAAAACGAGAAAGTTTATTTGCAAACTTTATGTATTCTAATTATTAAAGTTAAGGATCGAGAGAGAAAAATTAAGATTCTCTTTGATTCAGGATTCCAACGATCCTACGTTCGGGAGAAAATTATGAAGCGAATGAAAGCTGATCCTATTTGACAGGAGAAGGCGATTCATGATTTGTTTGGGGGGAGGGAAATTGCGTCCGTAACCCATTCTGTTTTTGCTATTGACATAAGCAGTTTAGGTAAGAATTTTAGGTGTTGTTTTGAAGCCTTTTTCAGAAAAAAAGCTATGTGGATTTGTCCCGACAATTAAGGATTCACAGATTATAGAGAAATCGAAAAGCAAGAAAATTGAGGTCAGTAACACATTTTGCGAGGAAAATGAAATTAATTTATTGATGGCGCAGATGTCACTGGTGAATACCTGGAATTACCCTCTGGGTTAACTGCAGTTAAAACAAAACTGGGTTGGACGGTTATGAGCAAATAAAATTATACTGTGAGCGATAATGCCCTAAGAAGGCTTTCCCTACATATAAAAGATGCTTCTTTGAAATCTTTATAGGATTTTGATATTATTGGTATCGGGGATCCATATGAAAATACTAGTAAGAAATTAATGTTTTCCGATGCATTGTATCAATTCCAAAATAATTTGAATATTCTTCCTAATTGAAGGTATGAGGTATCGTTACCATTCAAAAATCAGACCCTTTTACCGAATAACAAAGAACAAACTTTGAAAAGACATAAGAAAATGTGTAAACGTGCCGCCAATGAAGGATATCTAGATAATTATATTTTTATATTTAAGGAATGGGAAATATTTATATTTAAGGAAATGGAATAAATAAATATATGGAATAAATGGAATAAATAAAAATTTTATATTTAAGGAATGGGAAAGGCTAGGAATCATTGCAAAGGTTCAATATGGGGGGTAAATGAATTCGGACACTATTTACCCGATCGCCCTGTAATTAAAGAAAAGAGCGTAACTTCAAAAATCCTACCAATTTTTGATGCCTCAGCGAAAGAAGCCAATCAGCGATCCTTAAACAATCTTTTGATTTAAGAACCAAACCTAATTGAGTTAATCCCCGATATAATAGATAGGTTTAAGTTGTATCCCATATGACTGTCGTCGGACATTGAAAAGTCCTTCTTACAATTAATCCACGACACAGGATCTTAGATTCTTTTTTCCTTCTGAAACTGAAGAAATTCATTATAGACACTGTAGAGTAGCGTTCGGGATTACAACAAGTCCTTTTCTCCTTATGGCATCTTTAAATCATGTGCTAGATAATGCCTCTGGAGAATATTCTGATGTCGCCTGTCGACTTCGTCATTCATTTTATGTCGATAACTGTGTCACTCGAGTGTTTAGTTTAGATGAATTAGAACAATTTGTCCCTCGAGCTCAACATTTACTGAAAAGTGCATGTTTGAACTTAAGAAACTGGGAAAGTAATATGCTTAGTTCGCATATCTGCAAATCTTCTGGCGATACTTCTCATTTGGGCATGATATGGAATTTGGATCGAGATACTCTGAGATGCTTGGTACCTACAACTGAATTTAAACCGAATCAGACAAAAAGAGACATTTTGTTTTTCGTACAGCAAATATTCGATCCACTCGGAATTCTCTGCCCTGCTACCTTATTGCCTAAGTTGTTGATGCAGCAGACAAGGAGAAACATACTAAATTGAATTGGGATAGCCCCTTAACTGTTAATAAGGAAAGTTCATTTCCAAATTGGTTGGTAAAACTGCCGATCTTGAATAATATCGAGGTTCCACGATATGTAGAAGTGAGTAAGACGTCTGAATTACACGTATGTGTAGATGCATTTAAAACATCGTATGGTGCTTGTGTGTTTATGCGCACAGAAGTTTCTCTTGGTGTCAAAATTCGTCTCTTATGAGCTAAATCTAGAATTGCACCACTCAAGGAACTGCCGATACCGAAATTAGAACTAATGTCATGTTGTATAGGAGCTAGATTAGCACAATCCGTTAGATTAGCTGTTGATCTTACTGAAGTAAAAGTTACGTTCTGGTGTAATTCCATGTTAGCGCTTTGGTGGATTTGAGAACGGGGAGAGTGGTCGATTTTTGTCTCAGACTGAGTAAAAAAGATCCACCAGCTGACCTCACTAGAAAATTGGCGACTTGTTCCTGGTGAAATTAATGTCGCTGATGTTATTTCTCTAGGATATTCACCTGAAAAGTTAATCAAAATTCAATGGAAGGTCCATCATGGCTCTTCGAGAATTCAGAGAGAATGCCATCTAATAAAATATTTTTTAAAAGGGAAGTAGATGAAGAAAACGGAAAGTTTCGCTGTTTTGTAGGTAATGCGCGCAGTGAACGTAAAGGTAGAAAATTTGGAGGACCTTTCATTGTCTGGAGTAGAACATTCAGAAAAAGTTCTAATTAAAAGGATCCAATCTGAATACTTCCCTGTGCCTAATAATGTATCTATCTGTAACGTATTTAAAGATGAAGAAAGACTCTTTAGAATTAAAACGTCAATAACCGAGCGTATAGATTCCCAATCTCTTATTTCGCCCATATTATTACCAGGAAAATGTTTTTTCATTTAAAGATTAATTTAACATTTTCATGAAATGAACTGTCATGCAGGAACACAGATTCTGTTAAGTATATTACGTAAAAAATTCTGGATTCTCAGAGGTAGGAGAGCTGTTCGTAATGTTATAAAAAACTGTATCAAATGTAAGTGTTATAATGTCAAAAGTCAGATTACAGAACCTGTTCCTTTACCAGCTGATCGAGTGAAAGACGCAAGAGTCTTCGAAGTTGTCGGGATGGATCTTGCTGGTCCCCTCTACATTAAACATGGAGATAAGTCATGGGTAGTTTTGTTCACCTGTGCCATTTATCAAGCCACTCACTTGGAACTAGTTACGCTGTTAAGCACCGACTCTTTTCTTCTTTCTCTGAGACATTTCGTTGCCACAAGAAGCCGTCCGAGGATTATATATTCTGATAATGAGAACAATTTCAGAGGTGCATTCAAAGATCTTTGTGAAATTTATTGGAATAAAGTCCATAAAGAAGCTGAGTTGTATCGAATTCAGTGGAGATTTAACCCGCCTACCACCACCTGGTGGGGAGTCTAGTGGGAGAGAATTGTTAGAATACTGAAAGCACTTTTGAGGAGAACCATGGGAAAAGCAGTTCTAACGTATGAAGAGCTAGAAACCATTTTATGTGACTGTGAGTCTGTGATCAACTCACGCCTTCTTACATATCTATCCGAGGATTCCAATGATTTGGTTCCTCTTACATCAGCGATGTTCCTTCTTGAAAACTCTGAAATTAAGGTGACTGATATTGACTTTATTCATGCCAATCATTACCGTAAACGTATCTGATATCGCATAAGCTCCTAAAAAAACTAAGAATGCGTTTTCGCAAAGAATATCTTGGCTTATTAATTCAACATCAAGGCAAGAAGCGTCATTATTTCAATGTGAAATAAGGTGATATAATTCTCGTTGGAGATGATTTTCAAAAGCGTCTTAACTGGCCTCTTGCCAAAATTATAGAACTCATACCGGGAAAAGACGGAAAAGAGCGGACTGTTAAACTGAAAACTCAATCTAATGTTTTAACCAGACCTATCCAGAGAATTTTTTGTTTGGAGATAACATCTAATGAATTTTTAGATTCTCTTTTACAGATTAAAGCTGTTCCAGAACAAACGGTGAATGCTTCTATTCCCTCTTCAGATGTCCAAAGTGAAGCTGTTCCAGAACCAACGGTGGTTGCTTCTAGGCCCTCTTCGGATGTCAAAACCATCCGGAAGAATTATTAAAGTACCTCATCGCCTTGATTTATTCAGTATCTCAGTAAAGTTTTGAGCCTCCTGCAGTAGACTTAAAAGGGGGGGGAGGATGTTGGAAATCAGCCTCAGTGCCATTGTACTTGAAGTAAAGTGAAGAAGTCACAATTATTTTTTAACTGAACTGAATAGACAGTTTTGTTTATCCTTCTAGGCTGTATGCGTGAGTCTGGGAAGCAGCCGTAATGCATGTAATCCGATCCAATGTATAATTCTTTTCTTTTTGCTATCAATTAAATTTGTTTATATTTAATGGATCTATTAATGATCTCATATCACGAATCGAACAGTTGTTAAGTATCGGGTAGATGCACGAGAGCCGTATTAGTTCGATCCCACATAGGATATATTACAGTTTCCACGGGAAAAAAGAAAAGAAAAAAAATTGTTACACTCCTTAATTTTTTTCAGAAAATGTAATAATTTAATTTTAAAGTAACTGATTACGTTACTTACAATTAATTAAAAAACAGGGAACTTCATGTTCCTATCCTTTTACGTTCTTTCGTGTTTCTTGTTCCTTCAGTGTTTCTTATGTATCAAAAAACACGGGCTGTTACTGTCATTTTCATTTTAGAAAAAGAATTTATATTAAAAGTCAAATTACGGAAAATTATTTAACTATTTCTCAAAGTGTAGCCATCCCAACAAATTTAACGACATATTGAAAACAAGTAACTGATCAATCACATTTCGACAACATGATCGACCTTCTCTCTTTCTCCAAATGAAGTAGTTTTCTTTGAAAGTAAGAGTACCCATAAAAGCGAAGAAGAAAAGTCTTGATTTCTCGGTTGGAATGTTTTTGCAAGCAGAAAAACGGAAATTCTTATTTGCTTTATTTGTGGGTGAAGATTTCTAAACAAATATTGAGGAGTCTCCCCCCCCCACAAGGAATAAAAGTTTGCTAGGCGCTCTCAGTTAGTTTACAGTAAACCCTTGCCAAACGCGGAAGTTACGTATTTAACACATTGCGCGTACAGTAAAATCGCGCTCCGTAAAGTTAAATTTCCATAGAAAAAACGGGTAAAGTATAGTTCAGATTAAGAAAAAAATGTATAATTTATACAAATCTAAATATTACAATAGTTAAAAGGACAAAATGAACAAATGTTAATTGAAAGGATTTCTGGACAATATCTGATGCAACTCATTAAACGTTTCTCGGTTTGAAAGAAACGTATTTTCTTCTTTTTTACATTTGAATTAATCTCCATTACAAATCAGATAGTTTATGTGCCATTTTTTAACAATTCGTTTAACTTCGTGTACGTTAAAAACTTTATATTTTCTTCACTGCCGCTGCTCTCACCGTCTGCTAGTGTCATAAGATTATCCAGCTCTTCATTTATCATTTCACTATCGTCATTCTGGACTAATTTTTCGATTTATCCTTCTTTCATACCTGAAAATCCGTCGCCGCTTGTTGCCTTTGCAATCGGGATAATTTCCAAGGCCACATTTTCGACTAATGGAAATCCTTTAAAATTCTTGACAACTTCTGGCCAGAGCTGATTTCAGCGAGGCTTCGTTTTGTTGATAAATTCGTTTGTTCCCATGCAAGTGAATGCAGAGTTGTATTTTGAATTGCGTCCGAAATCGTATATCGTCTAGTGCAGCGGTTCTCAACCTTTTGATTTACTCGCACCATCTAAACAAAAATTGAAAACCATTTAGTACCACCACTACAAAATATTACTACCACCACCACTCTTGAACAAAGTTCAGATCGCATAAATTTACGAGTCGCATAAATTTACGAGTTAACACTCGTAAATTTATGCGATCTAACGATAAAAAACTATCTAACGATAAAAAATCTTTATCTAACGATAAAAAAAACTCAATCAGTATGTTGGGGTTTTAATTTTTGAATTTAATATAGTTAAAAATACTTTGCTTCTTTGCGTACCACCTATTTTTCTCTTGCGTACCACCGGTTGAGAACCCCTGGTCAAGTGCTTAATTGACAGAGATGTAAACATGCCTGACATAGTAGGCTTTGAATGTTTTTATAATTCCTTGATCCATTGGTTAGATTAAGAAAGTGGTGTTCGAATAAAACCTTTACATTAAACGCAATATTTTGAAGGCTTCAACACCATATTCTGAAGTCTTATCGAGAATTAGAGTACTCTAAAACTCAGGTTTTGCTGTTCTTAACTATGTTTGATTTCAATGATGAATGAATTTTCAAACCAGTCATTAAAGAGGACTATCATAATTTAGCCGATGCTCTGCAGCGGGAAATTCTCACGTTGGACAAATTAAATGGAGACAACGCGTTCGCTAAGGGTCTACTGTGTATTTAAAGTAAGCAAATTAAACGCCTTATGCCATAAATATTGTAATAATAAGCTATAAAGAAAACTACTTGTCATATAAATCAAAGGTATTTGCTTCTTTCCTTGACACAATTTTTGATGTAAAAAAAATTCACAAGTATGTTGCACTTTTATAAAACGGGAAAAACTGCTATATCTCTCACTTTACTATATAATTTTAACAAAATTCGTATAATTAATATTCTCCAATAAATAAATGCCTTATAAAAACTACATAGGCATAAAATAAAATGAAAACATTATAAGAGAAGAGAGTGATTAATTGTTTATGGAAAGCCAACGAACAAAACTCAGTTAAATAATGAATCGAATTCAAAATTCGCTTTAAAACTCTGGCGTCATTAATCTTTTTTGTTTACCTTTAAATCGCATAAGCCTTTTACAAGAAGATGAATAGCGATTTTTTCCCCTGTGCATCTAAGTACGTTTTCTCACATTCTTTTTGCAATTCAAAACCTTTCAAAAAACTGAGAAGTCTTTTACATTTGCTAGCATTTCATTATTAATAATATAAGGTTACTGATAAGTAGCTCTTAAGTTAAATAAATTGCAAACAATGTAATGCGAGAATATGGGGTTTTATATCGCTAGTAATATTTGACACACCTCGAAAATTGTAGTGAGCCCTCTAAAATATTCCATTTTTTCGTTAAGTTTTCAATCTTTATAATTATATAAAGTTAAATTTCAAATTTATACTTTGTAGAGTCATTAGGATTTTTTGGAAGCCGGAGAGAGGAAAAATTAGCAAACGCCTTCGCTTGGAATCGAACCACGGACCTCTGAAATACTGGCTCAGAGTGCAGAACCACTACACCACGAAGGCACGCTAGGGAAGTGAGAGAAATACCTTATATACTCCCCTTTTTAAAGGGCGACTAGGGTTTTAGGGGACCTAGTCGCCAAATCCTGGGTGCGGAGAATCATCATCCACAACCCTTTTAGTTCGGACGCCACTTGTAGAGTCTTTAGGATTTTTTTTGGCAGCCAGAGAGATGAAAAATTAGCAAACGCCTTCGCCGGGAATCGAACCATGGGACCTCTGAAATACCGGCTCAGTGTGCAGAACCACTACACCACGAAGGCACGCTAGGGAAGTGGGAGAAATACCTTATAACTTAAGGTCTGAGACTATTTCAAGTCCTTATCTTTCAGAGTTTCTTATTTTCGACATTTCTTTTTGATGCAAGAAATGACTACAGCAGCACATCTCAGCCGGGATTACCTGGAACTGTTATGTTCTGCGACAAACTGGGATGAGTTGGCTCATTATATAAAAACACAATTTCAAATCATTTTTGTTCTTAATTTCATTATCATAAGTTTACTACAAATTATTACATATTCTTATAAAACTCTTGGGATTTATAATAACTTGTCAGAGCATTTGAAGTACAAGGTGATTTTTATAGAACAGACTTGATTCGTTGGGCAGTAGCTTTGTTAAAAGCATCTGATTTTAATGCAGTTTGCTGCTAAAGATTCGAGAAGGATGAAAATTTAGAGGTTCGTCCCGTTTCTTGATGTGTAACGCAAAAAAATAAAAAATAAAAAAATAAATAAAAAAATAGAAGAAAGAACGAAAAAACGCGAAAAAAAGAACGCGAAAAACCGCGAAATTCCATACAAGAGGGACTGTATACTGTTGAAGTCAGAACAGTTTGACGTTTCGTGTCTATCGCAATAAACTACGGACACTGGACGAATTAAAGGCCAGCATTTCTAGGGAAATTGCAAATATCACTGCCGACACATTGCGGAGTGTTGCAGCCAACATGGAGCGGCGAGTTCAGTTATCCCTCCTACACCAGAAGGGTGATCATTTTCAACATCTGCTGCAGGGTTAAGTGATTACAAACTTTTATAACCTTTACAAACCTTTACTAGTCACGTTTGATATGCCACATGGCAATCAAAGTTTTTAACAACG